CACAATGCATTGTGGGAAAGATACATATTTCCTGTAACTATTCATATTTTGCTTACATAAAATTATTATTTCTTGGAACATTTGAGTGTGAATTAAAATCCTTAGTATGAAGGTTGAAATTTCTAGAAATAAACAATTACCCACTTTTTTTTATTTCCGACTGTGGGTGAGAACCACGTGTGAAGCTTATAATCGTCAGTGGGACTTTACTGTGCTTGACGTTCAACCATTGTGTTGTAACAGTGAACCTGGTCAGCCATTGCACTTTGGTGATGAACCATGTCAAGCATGTCAGTAGTGAGGGCAAGTCCAATTATATGAACTGTAGTTAGAACGTTGGGTCCAAAGTGACAGGCACCCTTCTGCAGGCCCCATTTAAATTTCTTCAGGAATTTTCTAGTTTAGTATTACAATGCTTAGTAGCCCATAATACTCCAAATGCCAGCCATTCACAGAGTGCTCTACAGCAATATTTGTGGCCTGTTAGATGACCAAGATGTGAAAGTTTTAGAGCTCTTAGTAAACAAGATGTCCACTAGGTTACAGGTTCATTACAGTTATTTTAATATGGTTTCCTAATATGATGCAGCCCTTGGTTTTATCTCTTATTAGTTTGAAAGGCATTTTGATAAATGTTTACTTTGTGCTTAATATTTTCCACTAAGTGTACATTGTAGCTGTTTCTCTACTTGAACAGAAATGAGCACCTGCTCTGCAGGAGTACAATGCTCCATGGCATTACAACACTGATAACATTTGACTCAGCATACAAGTCATCTTGTAAAGACAGATGACTTGAAATATTCGGACCAACATTCAGGCAAAGCCTGTTTACTAGCTGGATTCACTTTGATCGTTGGGTCTATCTTATGGGTAAACACTAACATAAAGTCCACCTGAAAAGCCCTGTTTCTGAGGAACTGCTTGTATCGCAGTCTTTTATTTATGCTGTTACTTAAAACATGGCAGTGATATTAACCCTTCTACGTGGGAACGTGTCGCCGGCAACACATCTAAATTTGCAGTACCGTAATTCCACCACACGTAGCGCTATTTGAAAAATTCCAACGGTTTATGAAAGGGGAGACGTTGCTCTTTCCAGCAAGTATCGGGTTAATACGGCAACTTCACAGCTGCAGAGAGCGTAATTAATCCAGGGGGCACTCATTTAATAGACGGCATTTTGCGAAAATAAATTGCTGGATATTGAAAGTTCCAGTTGTTATCGATACATGGGAAAGTATATCATCTCACAGGACATTTAAAGAACTACTTACAATTAAAATAAGGAAGGTTTATTTAGGCAGACGCTTGAAACTCCGGCGTAAAAGGGTTAAAAACCACAGCTAGTATTTTACAACAAAGCTTACTGGGAGGGAAAAGATGGAGAGGGAGTGAAAAGTAAAGAAGAGACGTAGGGAGAGAAAACAGGACCTTTAATCCAGTCGGGGGTCTTGGCAAATACCTCTCAGGGATGTTTTTATTGTTTTAATAACACCAGCATTGCAGTGGATTTGTTCTGATCTTGTAAAATTATAAATATTGATTTTTGTTATGGGAGAAGAGTTTCAGTGGTTAGACAGGAAAGACACCTCTCTCTAAAAACCAAGATAAACCTTGCTTCTTTTAGCTGCTAGAAGTATGCTTCCTGAATGTTGTCTTCAGTTGCTAATAAAAAAGAAGCTAAAATATAGTTGTAGTTAGTGGCACAAAAAGTGAGCATGCAGTACATGCAATGCATAGGGGCGCCACACCAGAGGGGGCGTCAAAACCCCGTCTGGAGGGGGCGACGCGCCGATGATGTGTTCGCATCCACTTGACCGCCCTTACGCTCTTTCACCTCGTGCCCATAACAGGGTAAACATAGCGAGTTTTACCTTTCATGTACCTTCGTGTCGGGGAGGGAGGGGGGGTAGGTAGAGTGAGCGTATGTTATGTATGCATCCACCTGAGAAATGCAGCACGTGTGCTCCTTCACGTACCTTCCTTCGGGCTGGGGGGGAGCGATTTATGTGTTTGCATCCACCCGAATTATATGTAGTTCCGACCCTGGCTGTAGTCTAACTTCTTCCTCCTTTTAGGACATATCTAGATAAACAGAGAATACTTTGATTGTAATGTTAACTGATAAAAGGAACACCTGGCAAATTTATATCATATTTGTCTGATAGATTTGGTCCCTCATAGTGTAAGACACCTTCCAGGCCTCTTTCTTAAAGAAGAAAGATAAAAAGGTCTGCCACTGTTTGTGCTGCCAATGCAGACACTTGCTTTAGTGCCTGTTTGATATCACAAAGCAGCTTGTTCCCAGTGTGAGTCGAACTCACATTCCATTGTCCTGGATATTGTTTTATAGCTCCCTCATCTTTGCTCTTTGCAAATGATGTGGTTCTGGTAGTGTCTCCATCTACAACCATCACTATGCAGAAGAGCAGCATAGAACTATCAGATTCGTATGATAACATTTTACAGTGGTTCTCTACTGTAAATGAGTTGGAGAGCATTATCAGAAAGAGGAATTTCCTAATGAAGCTTTTCCCTCTAGGGCATAATGTGGAATAAGTTAAAGATTATAGGTATATGTGAATATACATTTATATGTATGAATTGGCTGTTTGTCTTGTAGGGTCTTGAGATAATATTTTATCTGATATGAAAGTATACTAGTATGCAAATTCATTCACTGCAGAACTAAAACCTTACATAGTCCAAACTCAAAACTCAAAGATTGGATTTATTGTTTCATAAATCTTTCTGCATTTACATTTGTCTTGTTGAGACTAACAAAATGCATGTTAATGATAAAAAAATTCAATTGCTAGTAGTTTTTTCAGCACGTGCTGGTTTTCTCTGCTCCACCTTAGTGCTGCCTCACAAGCCTTCTTCCTTAGGCTGGAAAGGAACTGAAAGCACCTGAGCAGAATGCTTTAATCACATCTGGCTGGCACATTGGAGCAGCTTAATTGCATTGAGGAAAATGTCAGAAAGCAAATGAGTCTAACATGTCAATGTGTTAATTCCACTATCGATTTCATTGATGCGTCATTCACACTCTTACCTCTCATTAAAACTGACCTGTCAGATAACATGCACATTGCACTTGCACAAACATGGCCTTTATTCCTGTCTTCCAATAAGCACATTCACAATTCTGTTTACTCCAGGCTGTTATTTAATAAAATAAAAACTAAATGTTCTGCAACAGAATGTTGCTGCAGGAAGACCATTTGTTACGCATTGTAACCCGAGATTCTATGAGTATAGGCGCAGCCCTTTAAGGCTATCATTAGTGGGCACTGAAAAAAGCCTAGTCCATGCCCACCTACTGGGTGGACCCCACCCCGGTCTGTATAAATAACAGTCAGACCGGACAAATGGCTCCCTAACAGCCATTTTCTTCAGGCATTCAGGAACCAGTGAGGCCCACAGCTTAAAGGGCTGCGCCTATACTCATAGAATGTGGGGTTACAATACGTAACAAATGGTCCATTTCGTATAGGCTTCGCCCTTTAAGGCTATTGCTAGTGTTAAAGGCGAAGCAGGATGTAGTCTATGCCTCACTGGGTCCATCCACACTACCACCATGAAGCATCTGTTTGCACATAAAAAAAAAAAAAAAAAAAAAAAAAAAAACAGTCTCAGTCCAATTACGCACTCCCGGCCTCCCATACAGTAGAAGGAGAGATAGAAGAACAGCTTCTGGTTAGAAAGACCTGCTGCTGCGAATAGGAACAACGAACTGCAACAATGTAATGATTAACAGAGCAGGTAACTTGTATAGCATTTTGGACAACCATGTTGTTCTCAAATGCTTAAATAGACATAGAACTCCACAGGAAAAAATAACAGAATGATATCAGCCGAATCATGCATTATGATGCAGCAGAAAAGGCCACCGAGTGTGAACGGACACAACACAGGGGAAAAACCTGGCCGGTTTAACCAATTACAGCAGAAGACATGAATCGTGACCGAAAAACATCATGTCACCCTGTGTTACATGCAAGGGTGAGACAATATCAATACGTGATAAAAATAATTATTCTGTCATAACTCCAAGAACAGAACAGTCTTTGTGTTGCTACGCTGTGCTGCAGAAAAAGAGGGAGCCATTTTCCAGTCTGACCGTTATTTATACAGACCGGGGTGGGGTCCATCCAGTAGGTGGGTGTGGACTAAGCTTTTTCAGTGCTGCACTCCACGCGAGGGATAAACCCACTAGCGATAGAACAAAGATCACTGCATCATGACTGGGCAGCAGACCTTCCCAAAGATGACATATTCAATTGTTCATTTGCAATCAAACACTTTAGCCATATAGAAACACTTTATAAAATTAGTAAGAATAAGAACAAAAAAGAAAAAGTCAGAAAAGTGAGAAGTGTTTATCTACAAACAATGTTCAAAGTCAGTTCCCAGGGGATCGGCAACTAGGGGTCCGGACTGAAAGGGAAGTGGATAGATCGTGAGTTTGAGGCCCGAAGGAATATTGTCTACTGAATGATTACTGGATATTTCTTACTTTGACTTCAGCAAACTGGACTGAGGAGAGCACAGAGGCTTTTCAGGAGGAGATCTTGATGGAGGCGTCCGACTGTGGGCCAACTGAGGGTCTGCAGATGCGGTACGGCGTTGGAGGGAGGACAGGTAAGATCTGCAGCTCACCGAGGATCAGGGTGAGGGATTCAGCCAATGTGGAGTTCCAGAAGAGTTCAAAGACAGCAGGAAGGTGAGTGGATCTTGGGCATCCGGCGGGTAACGTCCACCGGCGTCACAAGGAGAAGTTGCACAGGAAAAAACAACCAGGAGCTCAGGGCTTCGAGTGGATAGGACCACAACGACACAAAGAAGGTTCCTGAGGAGGAGGCACAAAGACTGATTACTAGGAATCTTCACAAACACATATGTAAAAAAAAAAAAAAAAAACCACTGGAAATTTATATGTGAATGGTCCTAACTTTTTTTCTACCTAAATGAGGTGTTCAGAACTAATTATCACCTAAGACAAAAAAGCAGTTGACAGAAGGGTCAGGAAAACAATACAGGGCTAAAATACAAAAATAACGCCAAACCATTTTTAGACAGGTTATTCTGACTGGCAAAGTCTCACACTGTCACTGCTGTGACACATAAATAACATTAAGGATACATCACTAATTCAGCTGTCATGCTACTACAGTGGATACTTGGGATGTTGAGGGTTGCAGATCTTTGAATTATTGACAGTCCTGGAATAGAACTCTGGAGTAGAAGTTGTACCCAAGCCGAAAAGAAAATACATCTTTTGCCATTTAAAGCATGAGTAGTATGTGTAACCATTCACTGAGATTTTTCACTTGCCTTTTAAATGAAAGAAAAGTTCATCTAAAGTGTTCTATTTGATGCAATATTAAAACAAGAAGAAAAATAATTATTCACCAGTGAGAAAGTGGGAAAATGTGAATATTTGAAATGCACCTGTGCTTGTCTTCCAGATGAGCTCTGAGGTCACTATGTTTTTGTCAGGAACTGAACAGAAAATAACTTCACCATTTTTATGTCACTCCATGTCAATTTTCTTAAACAGAGAAAAGCTTTGTGTTTTATTCTAGAACACATTTAATCCAAGATGTCTCCATGCTTCTGACTGACTGGTGCAGCCATTCAGGCATTTTCAGTTAAAGCTCTGCCCACTTTGAGACCTCACAGGATCACACATGTGTTAGGGACACAGGAGAACATTTTGATCAGAGCTGGCTTGGGGCTGTTCCAGACACTAAGCAGAATTTTATTTGGGGGCCCACCTCTTCCTACAACACTACCACTACTTCCTGGGGTTAGAGGTGGTCAAGTGGAAAAGTGCTTTTAGAGTTTAGATCAGGCCTAAATATTCCAACCTGGGTTGTACCTAAACCAATCTGTCTAATCAATTCAAATTAAAGGCCTGAGTCCCATTTAAACCCGACATATTTTAAACTGCTACCAGTTTACATTACTTCCAGACCTATGACTTTGCTCTCTATATGTCAAGCAGTGAAGCATCTTCACTGCTATTGAGCATCTTCTATCTTCATTTTGTGGCTTGTTGTGTTGTGCTTGTTGCTTGTTGCAGGGTGAGTCAAGTGCAAATTATCTGGGATGTGTGACAGATAGGAGCGGGTTTGGTTTGGGCTTAAGCCTGTCTGGAGTCTGCAAGTGACAATGTGGATAGCATAGCAGGGGACATACACCATTATGAAAACATGTGTTAACTCTCACAGTAGATATTATGGCCTTATGTTTACAGCTAACAGCTCAATGTCCTTACCTCAGAACCTTTCTTAGGTAGTTTGTTGCCTAGAGTTATGCCATCTGTCATTCACAAACACACTCAGACTGACTCCTCTGTTGCTTTGGTTCCGTCAGTCCTTAAGTAGAATAAAATTGTTCATGTTTATGTGATCTCATATTACCTTGATGATGGACGGGATGGCACATTTGTACCTTTTTCTCTGGATGCAAGGAATGATAACAGAGCTAGTTCAACATATTCTCAGCTCCCAGGGAGTATCAGACTGCTCTGTGGGAGGCAGCATACCCTAGCAGCTGATCTCTGCTGTAAACACTGGGCATGTGGCCGCTCATGCAGTCTTCAAACACAAGTGCCAAAAATATTACATTTTTATTCAAAGTAAAAACACCAACAGTCAGCTCCATTGTGTGAAGATGAAAGAAGCATAAACACATTAATAAAAGAGAGAACTCATGAATGAGTGGGAACTGCTGAAACAGGCTGTCAGCTCTTGTGATGCCAAATAAAATTATTATACTACAGAGTGCCAGGATCGGTAGTTTTCTGTTTATTTTTGAGTAGTTTCCATGTTTATTTGTTATCCTGTTTCCCTGTGAGTCTCTGTCTCTGCGGTTTCACGTTGATTGTTCCCAGGTGTGTCTCGTTCCCTTGTTTACCTCCCTTGTATTTAACCCACCTGTTGTCTTTGTCTCTTGTCGGGTCCTCGTCTAACGTCTGTTTCTGTCCCCTGTGCTGCCTGTGATTTTGGATTTTGAGTTGTTCTCCTGGTTCGTCATTAAATCATAATTTTCATCATGACTACCTGGTTTCACCGGCCTGGTTTCACTAAGCTGTATCAAAACCTTTATGTTCTTTTCTTCATAGAAAAGAACATAAACCTCAGGTCTGTGGTCCTGGTTTCTAGTGCTTAGAGAACTTTTGGATAATCCATCCATTATCCTACACTGTTAGCCCTGGTGGGATCACAAGGGCTGCTGGTGCCTATCTCCAAAGGTCATTGGATGAAAGGTGAGGTCACCCTGGACAGGTCGCCTGTCCATTGTAGGGCAACACAGAGACAGACAGGACAAACACTCACACCTTACGAGTATTTAAAGAGACTAATTAACCTAACAGTCATGTTTTTTGGACTGTAGGAGGAAGCCGGAATACCCAGAGAGAACCTACCATGCACAGGGAGAACATGGAAACTCCATGCAGAAAGACCGGGGCCAGAAATCAAACCCAGGACCTTCTTGCTGCAAGGCAACAGCAGCACACTCTTTGGGATAAAGTTTTTCTGTAAAAAATAAAAATAAAAATAAAAATGTACTGTTAAGATTAGCCTCTAAAGTATTCATAAATTATGTTTGTCTAGTCATACAATGCACAGTGCTGTGGATTTTTATTAAAATGTGATCCTATCTGTAAAACCAGTCAGAAGAAAA